GGTAAAGCAAAGACTGAGTAGACATCTGAGCTGAAGTAACCTCTTGGAGGGAGCAGCGTCCCCCAACAGCCTGGATACCAGGTCAGTGGCAGAGGAACACTTGTCTGTGGCACACAGTCTCTTGGTAGGTCTGTCAGTCATAGAATTATAGAATCAGCTGGGTTGGAAGGGACCTCAGAGATCAAGTCCAACCCTTGATCCACTACCGCTGTGGTTACTAGACCATGGTATTAAGTGCCACATCCAGCCTCTTTTTAAAAATCTCCAGAGACGGAGAATCCACCACTTCCCTGGGCAGCCCATTCCAATGTCTGACCACACTCTCTGTGAAGAAATTCTTTCTAATATCTAACGTAAACCACCCCTGGCACAACTTGAGACCATGCCCTCTTGTCTTGCTGATGGTTGCCTGAGAAAAGAGACCAACCCCCACCTGGCTACAACCTCCTCTCAGGTAGTTGTAGAGAGTGATGAGGTCTCCCCTGAACCTCTTCTTCTCCAGGCTGAACAGCCCCAGCTCCCTCAGCCTCTCCTCATAGGACTTGTGCTTGAGTCCCTTCACCAGCCTAGTTCTAATTCCAGAAATAGAAACCAATCTTAGCAATGGTAGATGGGCCTTCCTGGCCTTTCTCCCATGTTCAGGTGGCACCAGTAACAGTTTCAGTATGTCATGTTTTTCTGATTGATGGTTCTCTCCTGTAACAGACAATCAATTCTTTTTAATCCCACCTCTTAATGCAATAATATTGAATTATCTTATGAAAGACAGTGGAATAAGTTAGAAGTAAGTAAAAGAAATGTTAGTTTTCACAGCCAGTTGGCACTGTTACAGAAAGTCACCAAGTTTAATGCTCAGTTAGGTTTTTTCCTGTTTTATTTATTTTTAGCATAACTCTGTGTCTGATAACAAACTTCATTAACTATGCAAGCTAAGGTAAAAATGTTAATTGACAGGAAGTGATGGCTTAGTAGGGTCAGGAGGGAATCTCTCCTGTCTCCCTTTCCCACTATGCACAGTGCAGAACAGTCGGATGGGTGCATAATGGTTGATTGGGGATTTTTTTTCCTCTGAAGTTATAACTTACAGGCCTTCATGAAAAAGGTGTTGGAGCAAATGGAATGCTGGAATAACCTAGGGTGTAACTTGATTTCATCTCATTAAAGATTTTTTAAAGTTTAGACAGTGCACCTGAAAATAAAATATCAAATTTAATGTGCAAAAGGTGTGTTTAATGCTCATGTGTGAGAATGGTAATACTTCCTATGTAACTTAGGACTGTATTAGTAAGGTTTAGCTGCTCTCTTTATCTCTCAAAACTGAAGGTTGTCAGTGTGCCTGTCTTATCACTTTGTTAATTTCTTCAAATACCTGAAGGATCTCCTTGGACTTAGAATTAAACAAATCAAAAGTTGACCTCTGCATGGTCAGATCTGTTTGTATGGCCAAGCAGATGGGAAAAGGGTCATAACATTGAAAAAATTAAGGCTTTAGATGACTGAAAAGCATGTGAAACTTTCATATTTAGCTATTTCTCCTCTGTAGATAGAAGCTCAGGTCCCAGGCTGACTTGGTTAAGGTAGCAGTGTGTTATATGTGGATATGAGGAAATAAACATTAGATGGACACTTTTTTCCCCCTACTGTATCTGTTTTACAAGAACATCCTTTCTTTGCAGCTCCTCTAGGAGTTGCATTAATGTGCAACACTGTAATAGCTGACCAGTGGAAACATAAGGTACATCTACCATTAACCACGTTTTAGTTAGACTACTAGAAAGAAAACAACTACTCCCTGTTGTTAAGAAACAATGGTTGGTTGATGGTGGTACTTCTCCCATGGATGTTAATGGTGTAGCTGAAGTGATATTGATGTAATTGAGGACATTTTGAGAGGGAGGTTATAGTGAAGGAAGAGAAGCATGGCTAAAATCTGTGGGATTCTCTTTTTTTCCCTAGCTTAAACTTTCAGCAAATGTTTAGCATTTATGTAATAGAAAAGAATATTATCCTTTTTCAACATTTTTCTCTGATACCTTGAACTAACCACAAAGCATAAGATTTTTTTTTTCAGTCTACCTAAATGGATGACATCAGTTTCCATTTTTAATGAATAAGATTTAAAAAGAATGGAAGCAAGGAAGTGAAAATTACTTTATTTCTGTGGTGGATGTGTATAAAGTCAATAATGTGTTCATTATTTAAAGTAGTGTTATTTGAATTTACTTTTTACATTTTCTTCAGTCTTTTTCCTCTCAAATTTTCACGTGGTGTTCTTTACCAATCAAAAATATTTTTTTTTTTTATTAGTTACAGGGTATTTGTGAGCTACAAACTCTTGGTTGTTTCTTGTATTCTGTTAAATGTGTCTACAAACTTACAAGAAAAAATTCCATTCATGTGTGTGGCCAGTTCAGGGTACCGGATGCCTTAAAAAGTCAGTAAGGATAGCTGGTTCCCAGATAAGGCGTCAAAATTCTTAGTATTATCTAAACTGAGGATTAAAAAGTTACAATTTTCCAAAGGTTTCCATTACATTTCCTATTCTGCCTACTGTGCATTGTACATTATTAAAGAGTACTGCTCTGACATGCCCCCCAAAGAAGTGAATTAACATTTCTTGTGAACTCTGTTCTTTTGTGAAGAAGTAATAATGACTGAAACAGCTCCAAAAGTTTTTCAGATGAATCAGAATTTATTACTTGTAAAATTAATGCCCATTACATTCACTGATACTGTGCATAAATTGTCATTTATAGAAAAAAGCTATCTTTTTTTACTGTTTGTTATTATCGATAACATCTGACTTGCACAGAGGATATGGACAAATGCAGCATGTGAGTGACATAATTTGTGAGATTTTTGCTTCACATTGCTCATCATCTATTGTTGTCTTTATGTACCTTGCCTTTTGCCTCTTAAAGCAAATTTAGTTGTGATTTATTACAGGTCTTAGAAGAGAGAGAGCCCATTCTAGCCAGCGAAAAGAAGAGCCCTGCCTTGTGCTTTGGGTCTGGCTTGAAGCCTTTTGAGTGTTACCATTTCTAGGGAAGTACTCACCTGCCAACGTGGACCTAAGCAAAGTTGCAATCACTGCTGATGCTTTTTGTTGGTAGTGTGAGTTTTGTTTATTTGTTTTGTTTTGGTTTTTTTTTTTAATAGATTCAATTATCTTGCCATAGTTTATCTTTTCTTAAAAGTCTTATTTCTCCCTCTTGAACTAAATTCTTAAATTTTCTAGGTATGCAACTGTGCTTGCTAACTAGTTCCATGGCTGAAAGAAGACACATGCAAGTCAGGAGAAACAGGAGAAATATGCAAGTCAGATATGATGAACTTAGAAGTACTATAACTAAGAAAATTCCTTCAAAAGAGGTTCTTTCTGAAGAAAATGGGTTGGTCAACTGCTAGTTGACTACCAGGACTTATCAATGGCTTGTGTGAGTTTAGAATATAGCTGTTATGTTGGAGCAATTCTTTGACTTCTGCTTCCTGTCTCTAGTGTGACTAGAAAAATCAAAGTCAGAAAAAAGTGTAATAAGATATAAAGTGGGGATTTAGGCTGGTTTATAGAAACATACTTAACCTCCCTGTACAATTCTCTGTCTGTGTAATGGGGATAATGTATTTAACTACAGCACGAGAAGTCTGAGGATTAATCGGTTAATGAATTCATAGAACCCTGAGCATCAAAAGTGTGCTGTAAATGTTTCCCATAGAAATTTCTCCATTACCTAAAGAGAGAGGAAGAAAAAAAAAATCAATTCATTGCTTTAAAGAATTGTGAAAATTCCATCAAGAACGCAGATAATTAAAGTAATATTAATAGATTTTTAGGTCTTCATTTCCCCCTCGAGACCAGGTGTCCCTGATTTTTTTTTCCTTTTCCCCTTCAAGTAACGTCCCTGACTCAGTTGTCAAAGACTGAGATGCAAAAGTGCCCACCTAGCTTTGAACTTGATACCTGCAGTGGAGTTGCAAGGTTAAATAAATGGGGTGGTTTGGTTTTTTTTTTTTTTTTAAGCTGAGCATAACACTTCAAAAAGATCTTTTCTCTCCCCCCTCCCCCCAGTGTATTTTTAGGCTACATGCACTCCTGCCTATGTCTGTTCCTTAGTCCCAGCTGAAGATTTCAAGGGAGATGAGGGCTCTATTTTGTTTCTCCCTTGTTTTGCAGATAGGGGGAGGAGGTGGTTATTAGAGAGAAGCGCTCTCGCTCGCTCTCTCTGTTTCTCCCTCTCTGGCTGATAGCACTTATCTCTCGCTCTCTCTCCTTCTCCTAGGTGATCCATTTCTAGGCAACGTGCTGGCTGGTGCTGTAGCTGCCAGCTCTCTCTGCATCCCACCAGCAAAGCGAGCTCCAAAAGCAACCTGCAGACCATCATCTGCTTTCCTCTGACTCGCTCCGGGTACTCCTCCTCTCGCTCCTGCCCTGTCCAACCAGCACCTTGCGCGACAGAGACAGCACGCTGGGCTCCATTGGCAGATTTATTTTTTTTCCTCCAGTTGTGGGAAGCGATTTTTCTAAGCGAAGGGTGGGGGGAAATCTCTGCATTACTATCTGCATTACCTTGAAGTTCACTTTGTTTTTTGGCCTCCGGGGGGGCTTTTCCTGCAGGAATCTGGCTGCTGGAAGCGGGATCGCCTGCTCTCCCAGTCGCCCGCTCCTCCCACCTCGCTGAAGGCGAGCTATTTGCTGCGGGCTCCTGGGGCTTCTCTGGCCGAGGGGGTTTGTGCGTGTCTGCTCGTGTTTGCGTGTCTGTGCCTGTGTGTATGTGTGCGTGTGTGTGAGCGTGTGCGTGGTGTGGGTTGGAAGTTGCTGTGCAGCAGCGGGACCGAGCGGATCCCTGGACCCGGCGGAAGGATGGGGATTGTCTGACCAGCAGAGGCGTCTGCTGCCCGCGGCGGCGCCCGGGCTGGATGGATTTGCTGCCGGCGCTCCCAGCAATTCTGGTGCTGCCCAGGAGCCCCCCGAAGTGACGCGGGGTTTCGCCGAGGAGAGGAGCGCTCGGAGCCCCAGGCTCGCTCCCTGCCCAGCCGCGGCTCTGCGCCAGCCACCGGGATTTACACGCTCCTCCGGCGGCATCTCAAACTCTTGGGCTTTCGGCGCTGCGCTGTCCTCCGCGGCGGCACCGCTTGGTGAAGAGATTTGTTGTTACAAAGCCTGGACCTCCGGAGGAGATGGAAGTTTTCTCCCTCATCCTGGTCGTGTCCGTCTGTTGGACTCGAACCTGGAAAGCGGCGATTGCAGATTCAATCATTCATATCGGTAAGGGGGTGCTGCGCCTGCTGGTGCTGTTGGACACTTTTCCAGCTCTCCTTTGCAACCTTCCCTCTCTTGGCAGGCTTTCCCCCCTCCCTCCGCAGCCCCCGCGCTCCTTTATCCCTTGCTCGCTTGCTTTTTTTATTGTTTGCTCCCCTCTTATAATTGCTTTCCACCACGTTCTCAGGCGTCCTCTTTTTCCCCTACCGCGCTGTGTAAAGGTTTCTTGTCGGCGGGGTATGTGCGTGCTTTAGACCTTGAGGTTTTGATGAGGCTGATGATCGGGGCGGGGGGGGGGGGGCAGGGCTCAGGCACTTCCCCGGTCCCTCCCCGCAGACCCTCAGCTCCAGCCTGCCTTCCGCCTGCCCCAGTTAGCCCTCGGCCGGGGGAGACCCCAAGCGTCCCCGTATTTCCCACACCACCGTGACAGCCACGCTACCCCCACCCCCGCCGCCCCTTTTCCCTTCCCCTTCCTTCACATCCCCCCATTCCGCCTTCCTCTCCCGCGGCGGAACAGGTGGTTGGGCAACGTGAGCGCTTCCCCTGCCGTGGGCGGGAGGGCGGCCGCGGGGGCGGGGGGCTCTGGCCGCCCGGCATCCCCTTCCCGGGCCGCCACCCCGCCGGCTCGGTGAGCGCCTCCCGGGGCCGCGGCACCCGCGAGAAAGGCAGCGGCCTCCCCCTCGGCCGGCGGGGGAAGGGGGACGGCCGGCACAGGCGGCGGGGCAGCTCGGGGGATGCCCGAGCACGGCGCTGCCCGCGCTCCCAGCCGGAGACAGGGCGCCGGGCTGCCTCGCGCCGCCCATGCCCCCCTCGCTCCCCGTTATCCTGAGCCATCTCCGGCACGGCAGCGCTCCCTCGGCGGGCTCATCCCTGGGAAGCGCCGAGCCCCGCTGCCGAGCGGCGTTTTGTTCCCGCGACTGGCGAGAGCGGGTCGCCCCCCTGCGCCGGCCGGGGATGTGCGGGGAGAGAGAGGGGGAGAGGAGGGCGCTTCCCCCGCGGCCGCTCGCCCATCTGCAGGCACCGCACGCAGGCGGAGCGGGGGCGGGCGGCCGGTCGGCGCCGCGCTGCCCCGGGGAAGGTGCATTTGGGGGCAGGGTCCCGCCGGGGTTTTGGGGAGGTCCCCGGGGCGGTGCCGGCCCCGGCTGTGGGGCAGCTGCCGCTCCCCCAGGGGTTGGCTTTATAAATATGTCTGCCGGTGCTTGTCGTGGGGATCCGTAGCGGGTTTCTGTGAAAAGGGGAAGCGGGAAGAGCGTTTGGAAAGCCCGGCCGTCAGGAGGTTTCCTGCAGGACACCGATATTTGGGCAGAGATGAGCCACCCCTTCGTGTAGTCCTCCCCGTCCCCGAGGCCACGAGCCACCGCTGCCCTTGGGTACCGCAACTTTACAGGGGTCAGTCCTTATAGCTGTGTGCGACTGGAGCGGCAAATATTGCACTGGGGAGGCAGCGCTCTGTGCCCTCCTTTTAAAGGGAGAATGACTTTTTTAATTCTTCCCAGTTGTAGACTGTTAAAGCGACACTAGGAGACAGTTATGGCTTACGATTTCTTTCTTAAGAGCTGGTAACAAGCGATCACATCTTAGGATTTGGGGGGAAATTTTGACTGTGTAGCAGATGAGTTTCTTTGCAATCCCCTGTCACCCATCCTCCTGGCTAAAGGAGCGCTGCTGGGCAAGCTGTGTGCCTTTGCACTAACGTCAAGGGAGATGATAGCTTTTCTCTCCTCGAGTTAAAGAAAATTTGTCTTACTTGTTTTTATATGAGGAATGCAACACATTTTAACGCATTTTTTTTAATAACGCTGTTAGCGATTAGATGCATCAACACAGTAAATCCTCATTGAAAGCAGGAAAAAACCCAGCAAAACTGAAGTAGTTGCTTCTCACACAATTAATTTGTCTTGAGAGACAATTAGTAGAGTTGACAAGGGGATTAGCTCTTTTTATTGACTAGTTTATGTTGCCATGAAAATGGCAAAATATAAAATTGTTACACAGAGCTTTAAATCTGCTAAAATGAACACATTGAAACTAAATGACCTGAAATTAGAACTGTTTTAGCAATAAATGGGTACATAGCTAAGTATTCCAACTTGTACAGCTCACAGATGAAATTTTGACCCCTAGTAACAGCACTGTATTTTGTGACCTGGTATTCTAACCTCCTTCTGTTTTCTTCTACTTGTACTAAGTAAACTTATGTATAAAATATTTAGACATAACTAATAAAATGTATGTATTTAACTGAGTTAACAAAAGCAGTAACAGGGTACTCTATGAACAAATTACCTACAGAAGAACTCATAAAGCCAAAATTCTCAGTTCAGGGGAAACGAAATGCTACCAGAGGTGGTAGTGATGCCTTAGGCAACAGACAGAATAAAAGTATTATCTTGTTCTCCTTCTCCAGTTTTAAGATATTCAAGTGGAAAAGTATTTTCCCATGTTTGGGAGGGGCAGATGGTCATAAGAAATAACACGTTACCTGTGCATAGCCTTTTTCTAATAGCACATACTTTTTTTGATATAATGCAGAAACTCTTGCTTGCCTGTGTTTTATGTATTTCCTGTAAATAGATGTTTTCTATATCAAAGTATGTAATCAGTCATCTCTTAGACAATGCCAAAAAATATTACAATTTAGTGAGTAGACATTAACAACCTGGTGATGGCAGTGGGAGGGATACGGTGACTGGTATCTATCTATGATAGTGCATTTTCATATTTATGTCTTCTGTTTACAGCTTCTGCTTTTGATCATTAGAGGAGGTCTGTGTGTATGCAAGTGTGCACATTTAAAAAAAAAACGTTTCCCTGTATCATATTTTAAACATCGGTAGAGCTGCTTATAGTCTGTACATTTCTGCTGCCCTGCTATTGTAAATAGGAACTGGCAGTTCAGAAGGACTACATTAAGCACTCTTGTGAAAACGTTGAAATGAATCGACTCCACTGTAATTTTCGTTACCCCTATATAAAAAAGAAAGGGGCAGGGTTACCATGTCAAAACTGTGCAATTCTGTATTATGCTGCTTCTCTCAGACCGTGCATTGATTGAGTAATTTCATCAGTCCCACATTACTTGATTGCTTAGAAGTTTCCTAATGATCTGTATGCTGTAGGAAGAATCTGAAAGTCGTGAGTGGAATGGCAATGATTCTGTGTTTTATGAGGCTATTCAAAAAGTCGCTCTGATTTATGTAGCTTGAAAGCTCCCAAGTCTTTGAGATTAGCCACGCTGCCTGATATTTTCTTCATACATCAGTCGTCCCACACTCCTCACTCCCTAAACAGGAGTTTAGAACAGTGTTTTAATTAAGCAGGGATTAGGTGGCACTCCTTGTCAACTGCACAATTTGCGTATGCTTTGTATCCTCTACAGCTGATAGTCTCATGCTTTTATATTTTGTACTTTCTGCTCAGTATTTTCCCTTGACATGTACATAGTAATACATCTGCATGTGCATATGGATTTCCTATTGTACCTGTAAAAGCATAGATGCAGATGTGTGTGTTAGGTACTTCCAAATCACCTAGGGCAGCAGTCACACATAGTATTGTACAAAAGTTTTACTGAAAATATACACTTAAGTATTTTTCAAAGCTAATTCATCTAGTTCAGGCCCCATTATTACTTCAAATTGTTTTTTGTTTATCAGTAACTTCAGTTTTATGCAGTCAGTTGTGTACTGCCCTTAGCTTTCTTATTTTCAATGGCAAGTTCAGAAATATATATAATATAATATGTACAGCTATATGTATTATATATGCTTCTATATATATTTATTTCTCTGATTTTAATATATATATTTATATATACTTTTTTTTCCCGGAGAGAGAAAATTAGTCCTGTTCTTACCTTACTCCTCAGAGCTTTTAGACTTTGTAGGCCAGGACTACTGCATTCCTTGTGTTGGACAAGTTCCCAGCACTGCTGGGTCCTGAGTTTTTGTTCATATCTTTAAGCTCTTCTGTACCACAGATAATAATATCAAGGCAGTTCTAACATAAGGTCTATTACTTGTTTCTTCTATTGATATTAGTAGTGTCTTTAAAACGTAATTTTTTTTATAAGGGAAAGGGAGTCTCCTTGCTTGGTGGTATGCATGTCCACATTTATTCTTGGAAGCTGATGTGCTACAGTGCAGCTTGGCTTGCATTGTGTTGTGCATTGATAATAGGAATTTAATTTACTGTGCTGTTGGTAAAGCCTCATTAGAAGGTTTGTAGCGTATGTCACTAACTGTTCATTACTGTGCTCTCACATATATTTGTAAAGCACGGGACAAGCAAGCAAAACAGATTTTTTGATAAACAAATAAATCTCTGTGTACCTATAGTGTCCACAGAGGGTATTCAGGTCCCAGTTTTCCCTGCCCTATAATTTTCCAAGATTTCTTGCTTATTTTAAACACACATATGAATGAAGACCTGGAATACAGTGCACTGTGGCTCAGCAGCCAGTGGGTTCTATTACTATGTTCTACTTAAATGCTCAGCATGTGTGACATACGCTCTGTTTCTATGTGCGTTATTTCTAAAATGCTTTCGCAGGTGATGAGACTTCTGATAGTGTTTCAGTCCCTGTAATGCGTGTACTTACTGTGTAGCTAAAGAGGGGTAACTTTGCATGCCATCATCCAAAGGCATGTTTGCCATTAGGTGTCACTGCTTTCTAGAGTGTTTCTTAGTCATCATCAGGGCCTGATCCAGAGTCTGTCATGATCCAGGTGAGTTGTTCACTTGACTTCAGAAGATTTTAAACTGAGCCGGTGGATTGCTGACTGCAGCAGGCGGCTCCTTTTCATGTTCTTAAATAACTCTTAGTGTTATATCAGGTTCTTTGTCCTTGATAAAGACAGAGTAAAAAACCCAACCATCCGTTTTCAAGTGGTGCCCTAACAAATGTCTGACATGACAATCACTGCTGCTGCTGTGTGCTTTTATATCACTACTTATGGATGCACAGAGCCTTTATTCTCACAGTGCCATCTTTGAAAAAACACACT